TTTTCGAATAACTTTTTCTTTTTATATAAATCAAACTATATTGTTGTGTGCTCCTTTTAAAGATGAATGTCTTCAACAGTAAAGAAGCAAAGTTAGAAAGTCTTAAAGACTACAAAATGGTTTTATTATTGGGATTTATTCTGAGTTTATGCCACAGTCATTAAAGCAAATGACTAAATGAGTCCTTTGAAATGTCTTGAAATATGATAAAACTTTTTTCTAAAATAATCTTTTGTTAACAAATGAGCTCAAATACATGAAACATTGGGAGTAAAAAATGTGGTGTTTGAAGAAGCTGCAAAATAAGACAAGATGCTAAATATTCTGGAGCCAATACTGTTCTTTGAGTTTGACCTTGAACTCTGATGTGAAAGCTGTTAGAAAAAGGCCCATTTAGGGTTTAGCTCGCCTGTGGGGTCAGACAGGTCAAACAATCCATTTGACACACTGGCAGGGGGGGTGCGGTTCAGTACTTCAACCACACATTTTTCTCATCTACCTCTTTGAAATGACAGAGGCGGCTCCCCGTTCACCCACCACTTAGAATTAGCCAATTTTTACGACCCTGTAAGCCGACACTCCTTTACCTCGCTGATTGGGATCAGGCCGGGCGGGCAGCTTCAGTCTTAACTGTCTCGTTTAGGGACGGAGGTCGGCGTGTAGCAAGGTGATTTACAGTTCAAATCCCAGGCCCTCCGCAAAGACCGCAGAGGATGCTGAAAACAATGAATAAACAACAGCATCAGAGTTTGTTCAAGGGCCTGAAAGGGCCCATGTTAACATTATATGGCAACAACAACTAGAAAAAAGGGCCCTTAAATCTAGGTCCACAGAATGTCAATTATTATTATAATAATTTCATGAATTAGCTGCACCACAGAACGTTCCCCTCTGATGATGTGACCATTACATGTAGAGGGATCCTGTCATATAATTAAAAGAGTTTTATTATTTAACTTTAAATTGTTGTCACGTGATACATAATCAGTTTTATTCAAATTACCACTGATTCCAGATTAGCAGTCTGGATTTAATTGGAACTTTAAGGAGACGTTACACAGAGGGCAGTAGGAGTCTGGTAAAGCTGTGTAAATTATAAATAGGGATGGCCCCACACGAGAGAACAATTGGGCAGTATTTAGGTCCAACTTGTTGCTTTTGATTATCATTGGGGTGCTCCCGATTAGCGGCTGGTCTTGAACAATATCTGCCTAAATGATCATGTAGTATGTTGGGTTTACACAAATAATTTCAATGTTACTATGGATCAGAGTCTCCCTGATGTATCATTCCTTTAGAGTGAAAGGAACAACGATTGAATATAGAGTGGTGCCGTGATGACATATTTATGTAGGCCGACCCGGACAAAACAATGGGAATTTCCATTGGTTTTCAGTAGGTTGCAGGAAATAAGCTTTTTGGCAAACACACGTTTATGATACTTAAACATTTAGTTCAGGGTGATAACCGCCACATAGAAACACACATTGTGATTTTTGAAGCATAAATGCAATCGCCAGAAGTAGGGCTAGGCCATAAACAAATGACATCACAGTCGCCACCACTAAGCTAAGGGCGATATTATGTGTGATGACATTTAGTGGTTCAATTAGTTACTTGATATCAACCACGTTTTTTGAAGACACATAGAAGCTTCGGACATTCACAAGTGGGGTAATTACTGACATATTTGATGTTGTACAACACAACGTGAACCTCTCTTTAGCTTGTGTTAACCACACACCTTATTTTAGGCTTCTAACCACAAACACGTTCCAAAAAACGCTGACTTCGAGACGAGGGAACCGGAAGTTGTAAAATGCAAAATTGTTACCGTGTTTTTGGCTGTACTGCATAATGAATATGTTAATTATGGCAATTTCACCCAAATCTTAATAGGATGAAATAAGGACATTTTGGACTGACAAGAAACTACAACTTTACTGGAACAAAGGGAGTTCATTTTCTCTTCAGTGCAGAACCTAGTCTAAACATCTTATGACGCCAATCCACATCTATATTTGTTTTTCTTCTGATCAGTAAAATCCAGATTTGGATAAACAACACTGGGGGGCATGAACTCAGTGACCTCAATAGAACCAACAGGCCTGTATAGGCTCACCTACAGTATATAGAGCCTATACCCCCAGGGTATAAAATGTTGTACTTGTGTACTCAGACAAGCAGTTTCATGTCTACAGACTTTAGATTGATACATGTCAGACCTGTTTTAAGGGCTTTGTTGTTTATCTGAGGATTTTGTTATCAGAACGACAGATAACAGGCCCCTTAGATCAGATTTCAGAAGAAATAAGCTGCCATGCAAACAAGCAGCCATTTTTCTGAGGCCCATTCATTACAACACTAACAAGCCATTTAAGAAAACCGTAGGGAATGAGCAGAAACATCCCCCCTGATGCGGGTAAGTGCTTTTTGCAACAAAACAAGCAGCTTACATGTTGTTTAAACAAAGTTAAACACAGGGGGTGGGTGTGTGGGTGGGGGGGTTCTGTGATCCAGACCCATCAGTCACTGTGTGTTTCTGCAGTCTGGAGCACATTCCATGAATCCTGCTGGGTTTTGTTCCCCTTCACCTACAACAACGACACAGTTTGAGTCATGCAGAGCTGAGTGAGGCAGCCTCGTTCAAACACAACTGAAAAACATGATGACAATGACAATTATTTTTTTAATATTTTGCTCTTGTGAATTGGGTTTGCGTTTTTGTAGGGTTCATGTCAAATATTTGGTTTTAAGTCTGAAGAGTTGAAAGGTCTCTCTATTATTAAATGTCATCCGCGTACATATTTTTGTTAACACTTTTTATAAATGAGTATTAAAATTGAGGTCACATGACTTTTTAGAAAACTCTTTTATTTGATGGTTGTACGGTGGCCGACAGGGGCCAGTGCTTGCACAGGTCAGCCACCGTAGATTTGGGCAATTTATCCTGTGTCTTTAGTCAACTTTAGGAAAAAGGAAAATTATGTAATTATTCAAACTATAAGTCAAGACATGTCTGGGTTTGGTTGTGGGAAAGTTTGTCCTGAAATACAATCATTTTTGTACCCTATTTTGATTATTTCACCAGCTAATCCAAAGGGGGGGAATTCATAATAATAGTCATTTAAATATAGAAACTAAGCTATATTTACCTGGTACTTTTAAAACAAAGTTATAAATTCATTTCCATAGTTGAACCTGGAACATTTCAGAATGGCAAAGAAATACATTCATATCAGCAAAAATCAAAGGGAAAAAATCAAAAGAAGTATAAATAAATAATAATAATAAAAGTAGAACAAAATGGAAATCAATCTATTAAAATTGAAGTATGTTGAATTAGTAGGCCTACTTTAATAGTAAATGTACATATTACCTTTCCACTAATTAATCAAATTAATTAATCTATTATCATGGATAATGCAATTTCTTCTGAAAAATATCAATATCAGCTAAAATCCCCACAGGATTATGAAATAAAGAACTCCACTGAATCTGATTATTTCATTTCTACAAAAGAAATTGATAGCGTCTTCCCAACAGGTTGTTCTGAGTGGCAGAGGAAAGGAAATGCCAGCAGTGGTATAGCACTGCAGATGTGGTACAGAGGAGGCGCTCCTCTGTCATTTGCGCCAGTGGAAATGAGCAGAGCCATTTCCTCTGGATTGGGGGAGTGGTGGGGGGTGTAACTGATAGTAATCTCTTAAACCGGGGAATAAGAGTCCAAAATGAAGCTGATTCGCCTTCACTTCCTCGTATACTTTATTTTTCTCCCTTTTTTTTTTTTCTTTACTTCATGACGATTTCTCTTTGTAATTTCCCCCTCATCTTTTTTCTTCTTCTACTTAAACCTTTTATCTTTAACATTTTTAGCATTTAAATACCGTGACATTTTTAAGGTTAATTCAATTCATTTTAAGTTTAACCGTGGTGCATTTTGATGGAAGTAATAGTCCAAAATTGAGAAGACTAGTGCTGCTTGTGACACCTGTAACTGAAGCTCCTGTCTCAGAATATAAACTGATTCATGTGGAAACCGACAGTTATGAGGCTCATTGGTACCTCTTTTGGTAAAAGTGAGCTTATTTGACCATAAGCAGCCAAGTTTTGTTTCTTGCTTTTTTGTCCCCTTTTCTGTTGTGTATTGAGATTCTTGCAGAGTTTTTTTTATTTGCACCTTTTTGTTTATGCAGCGTCTTTTGTAAAATGTGCATGTTTTGTGAAGTTGGTGAAGAAGTTTCTTCATTTGCATGTGTTTTGGCTAAATTATGTTTATTTATTTGCATCGTTTGGAAAGTGCAGCGAATTTCTCGTAGTTGAAATGTTCTGGGCCGTTGTAGCGCGTTTTTGTCGGCCACCGTACAGGAATACCGCACTGCAAGAGCCAGTCAGGCGTATTGATATTTATGGTAAATATTTATGTTTGGTGAGGTTAAATGAATTGGATAATCAATCAACAACGACACAGTTTGATAAACAAACCGTTTTGTTTGTTTATGGACTGCTCAAGGTTTATGTTTGTTATTGTTTACGGAAAAGCAGACTCTAGTGCGCAAGTCTATGAGTATAAAATGACGCATTACCACTATGACAAATTGGAAGTCTACCAGGTAGTTGAAAACGTTTTTGCCCGTACGCGTCCACATGCCTGATGGTATTTGTACTTTGTTTATTCATTTATATGCAGTTAAAAGTGTTGTAGAGTAAGTCGGTAGTGGACCGCCAACAGATCTATGGAATATTAAGTGAATAAAACCCTCAGGACGCATACCTGTGACTATGGTTTTCATTGAAGGTATTTGGATGTTTTAAACGCCAGTGAACATTCGAGTTCGCCTTGTAGGCTTAGTGGCCTTGGAACTTTGTATTTTGCATAATTGGCCACTACACGCACAAAAGACAAATAGATGACACACAGTGACATATTTTTCAAAGTATTTACGTGTTTAATTTATTTGTTAAAAACAACTATCTGTTGACCACCATTGTTCTTACAGTTGTCTGAAAAGTTCCCTGACCTGAAGAAGAGGGGGAAGCTTTCTCACACTCAGGACTTTGTAAAGGAGACAAGTTTGCAGACCAACACCTCTAACACATGGAACCGACCACGCTGTGGAGTACCGGACTACCCCGCCCATAAGGAGGTGCATTATCGGGGGCGACAGAGACGCTTCGTCCTGTACGGAGGACGTTTAGAGAAGACAGACCTCACCTACAGGTACATACCAGGCGCCGATACAGAATACCCTAATTGTAGAAAGCACAGCATTTCATTGTGGGTTGGCTGTGGTGGGTCAATAGATATCATGGTGAGATGGAATGAAAACACATTCAGGATTGGTCATTGATTTTTCTTTTTTATGTTTGCAAGAGAAGAGGGACGTTTGTTGCTCTCTTTCCGTGAAACAGAGGCTTGCACTCCAAGGGATTGGTTTCAGACAGAGGGGGAAAAGAGGTGCTGCAGAAATAAAGAGCTTTTTGAACATTAAAGCATGGAGACATGTCACAGTAGAGACACTAAATACTAATATCAACATGAACATTTGCAGAATATGTCGTCTTAAACTACCGGATGTGCAATTAGAAGCTTTTTTCTTGCAACTTAACCATATCTAATGTAAATTGTCAATAAGAAATTGTTACTGCTGCCCCAGTATCGCAGTATGGTTTAAAGAATCACTTCATTAGGCAAAACGATGACTCCATTTCAGGCAGTTTTCAGACCAACTTAATTATAGACTCAAGGAAAAAACATGTAACACGGGAGGGCTTATATAGTTCTATATATAGTAATATAGAAAATGAAGTCTTAAAATTATAAATCTGACAAAGGGGTGATGCTTTGCTTTCATCTAAGGACTTGGCACCACTGCGCGTCTGGCAGTGCTCTGCTGGCGGCTGCCTCTCTGTCTGTGTCTCCTGGGGTCTCTTTCATTGTAGCCATTCTTTAACGCAACAGTATATTAACACAGAGCGAGAGAGAGGGGGGGGAGGCCGCACCGGCCGCAAACTAATGCGATTCTGTTTTTTTTTTTTAAAGGGCCCTATTCTGCTCATTTTCAGGTTCATATTTGTATTTTGTTACTCTACTTACTATGACATTTTTTACATGCTTTAATGTTAAAAACAGCTCTTCATTTTTCTCATACTGCCTGTGCTGCAGCACCTCTTTTCACCCTCTGTCTGAAACCAGAGCCCAGTCTGCTCTGATTGGTTAGCTAGCCAGCTCTGTTATAATTGGTCAACCACTAATAGATGTGTGGGAGCGATAGCCTATAGAAGTGTTACATAGTGATGTCATTATGTAACATGTAATGATCCTCAAATGTGTAGCTCCCCCACTGAAAATAGTTCCCAACTGTGCACTACTTCCTCTTGCTGTTTGACAAAACTACAGTGACCAGCTTGGCTGCATTGTTATTTAAAAAAAAAAACCTAGTGTAATTCCCCTTTCAAGGCTAAGCAATGTAGGTCATATTTAGGAAAATATTACCTCTTTAATCTTAGGATAACAAAAAGTGATAAGCTCAATATTTACACTTATGTGAACTTTGCACTGAGCAAAGTCCATGTGCAAACTGAAGTCAGTCTGAACAAATGTAAGCACCTTTGCATGAGTCTTGCTGCACACTTTAGATTATGGTCAAACGTTTTTTCTTGTCGTGTAATTATGACTTTTAGTATCAAATTTAAATGTGCGGTTTAAATGAAAAATTTTCAGGAAATGTAACTCTTCCTGTCGCCTTAAAGTATATGCTTTATGGAACTGAGACAGGGAATGACATGAACAGCAGTTGTATTTTTATTGCTAGAGATTTCTCTAAATTAAGACCACATTTCCCATAAACCCTGCTGCTTCCTGTCCCTTTTGACCCTTCATGCATGATGAAAGACAAGAACTGCCTGCCAGCCAGAAAAAACTCTTACAGGTAACATGTTCTGAAGTTGTGCCATAAAATGATGCAGCAAATGTTAACTTTATATTTTTACACCAAAGATCCCTGAAGGGACTAGCTAATAATGAGGTTATCTGGAAACCTTTAATCAACAAGAAACAATAATATCCAGAATTAACAGCTATAGGTTAAAGGAACAGATTGGATTGTTGGTTAATACAGCTATTTTTTGAGTGAGAAAAGTTTATTAACGCCGTGACTGAGTACACATCTGGAGTCATGACATGTTAGCCTAGTTTAGCATAGTGAGTGGAAATGGTCATCAGCTAGCCTGGCCCTTTGCAAAGATAAAAAATCTGCCTAACAACACCTCAAACTCTGTTTAATCAACATGTTGTATCTTGTTTTTGTTTAATCTCTGTCTTTTTGAAGAGTCAGCTCTTCAGTTTTAGCATCATTGTGCCAAAATCTCAATCTGTGCTTGCAAGTGGCAATTTGCAACCGTGCTATAGCTGGAAGCGCTACACAGGCACGTCCTGACAGCTCCGTACTTCACCCGTAGAGAGTGGTTGTCCATTCCTCACACGCATATCAGAATGTTTTACAAAGCGTGAAACTACTACAACGATTGGTCTACATCAATTCTATATGATTAATACATATTTAGAGTCTTGTTTGTTAAATAAGGAGGTTTATGTTCTTTTTCCTATTTATCACACTGGGTGGTTTTATTTAAAAGGAAAGGGAGCCTGGGGGTGTCAGTAACAGAACACCTCCCCGCTGATGAGACAGATATCAGATTAGAGGGAGGCATGCAAGGCTGGTGGTCCCTCTCTGCTTCCCTACTGTATATCGTGTGTGAGTGTGTGTGTGTGACACCTGCACTGATCTCCCGCAGGATAGTTCGGTTTCCCTGGCAGATAGGCGAGGAGAAGGTTCGACGTGTCTTTCGGGAAGCGCTGAAAATCTGGAGTGACGTCACCCCGCTCACCTTCACCGAGATCCACAGTGGGAAGGCCGACATCCGGATCGACTTCACAAGGTGGGAGACCGGGATGTGGGGGAAAAAAGCATCTTTTAGAAGTAATTATAAAGGAAAAGTAACACATGCTATATGTTTAAGTAAAAAAGACAGATATGATTGCAAAATGAATTAATGTGCTATGAAATAAAATACAAAATACATTATTTTTGCAACTTTGTTCAAGATGGAAATATCTCGATTTGGTGCATTAGCATGCAATTTGAATCATGCTCTCATATTCCCCTCAGGAATACCTGTATACATTTTTGTGATCCTTTGACTATCAAGATCAAGTATCTGCAGTCCTTATCACATTCCCATCGGCCTCTGCTGTAATTTGTGTCTACTGATAATTATCAAAAGTTTTGCAATTTAGGGTAGCAACGGTATGACATTTTCACAATTAATCCTTTACAGTTACAGTTAACCATATGCTTTTAGGGTGTTCCCTCTCCTGTAGTGTGTGCATGTAAATGGTCTACAAAGGCTAAAATCCCAAAGTTCCCTCACACACTCCCCACCCAGCCTCAAACCCCTCCATTGGACTCCTTTATTGACTTCTGTAAGATAGTGACATCACTATGTAACACTCACACTTCTATTGGCTAACACTCCTACACATTGTACGTGACAATGTAAGATATTGAAGTAAACCTGACATAAGGCGCTTTCACACCGCAGTACTTTTCCCACTTTAGTTCCGATATAGTTCCGAAATGTCGCGTTCACACCAAAAAATTCCGGAACTAAAATGAGTTAATGAGAACCTTTTTACCCCCCTTTTCCGTCCCTGCTAGAGAGCAGGTACTTTCGTGGGAGAAAAAGGTTCCTATGTCTGATTGGCTGGGCGGATTGCAAACCACGCCCCGTAAAACTCCAAATAAGTTTTGTGAAGCCGCCATTTTATTATCCTCGCATTAGCATTATTAGCATTAGCATTAGCCCAGCGCACAAACGCAGAGAGACTAACTTACGCAACACAAAAGAAAACATGGGAGTGGTGGAGATGAGGAGGTGTCGGAGTCCCAGCAGCTTCTACTGAAGCCAGTCCCCAACTCCGGGGACTTCCGGCCAGGGACTTCGGGTGGCAGTATACGCCGTGAAGTTGTTTGCGGCCTGCCAGTAAACCCAAAGCAGAAGAAGAAGAAGTGACGTCAGCGGCTTCATTTGCCTAATCCTCCCCCAGGGACTTATTCCGGTGTGAACGCGATCTGTACTTAGTTCATGAGAACTAAAGAGTTCTCATGAACTAAGTTCTGATTAACTAAAGTGGGAAAAGTACTGCGGTGTGAAAGCGCCTATAAGTGTATTTGTATAAGTTGGAAACTCCCTCTGGAGGGAACTTCGGGATTTTAGCCATTGCAGACCATTTACATGCACTAAAACACACTATAGGAAAGGGAAACCCTCCCCAAAAAACATCAAAGGACCTCTTCAATTTATGGCAAAATACGATAAGACTTTCTTTTTTATTTCACCAAATGATTGGAAGTCAAACCATAAAGCCTTAGATTTCTTTTAACATGCCTGTTTAGTTATTTAACTATAATTTCAGATAAGGAAATTGGTTTTTCCTTTGTTATTATTAACTTAATATTAATGGGTTTTCTGACAGCAACCTCATCAACTTGTTTTTTCATCCGTAAAGTTTCACTTAAAAAGTTCATCATGCTGTAAACCTTCAGAGTGCCTCTTGTGCTCATCAGAACCTTTCATTTATGGGATTGCAGGTACTGGCATGGAGACAACCTTCCCTTCGATGGCCCGGGTGGGATTCTCGCTCACGCATTTTTCCCCAAAACCCACCGACAAGGTGACATTCACTTTGACTATGACGAGTCCTGGACCCTCGGAAACCACATGGGTGAGGGTTTATCTGACAGAATTTAGAAAACAAATATGTTTGACTTTTTTTCATTGCTTCAAGTAGAATATAAATCATGAATACAATTCATGGTACTATGTGTTTACTGTGTCGACTTTTTTGGCCAATTACAGTATGTGTACCCATACAAGGAATTTGACTCTGGTTTAGAAAAGAAGTATCAGAAAATGAGTAAAGAAAAAACTGGTACCTAGCAAATACCATCATGAGGGAAGAAGAGGTGCAGGGAGGCCAAGTGGAGAATGGATGACTGACATAAAGAGGTGGTCAGGGAAGCGGTGGTGGTGTGAATGAGAACGGCGGCAAATCCAGATGTTTTGGATGTTAGGTGACGTCATCAAAGTGAATGACCTGACCTGAAAAAAATAGCAGGCTGTAAATTGCCCTGGGTATGTTTCTCAACACTTTAATTCAGGTTTTTCCTTTAATATGTCAACGACACTATAAAGATGCAAATAATAACAGATAAACAATGTGATTAAATATGAACTAACCATGTATTGTTGAGAAAGTAGTAGTAGTAGTAGGGTTTTTAAAAGTGAATACAGAGGTTATATTATTATTTTAGAAGTATTATATAAGAATATGTATAATTAGAAACACTGAAATGCAATGATTATTAATAATCAATTCAAGAAATGTAAAACGGGCAAAATATGACTTTCATGACTGCCCAAGGAAATCAAAATACCATTTAAAATAGAAAAAGCACATACAATCACTTTAGACACTAAGATCTTTATCGTGCTGGTTATTATTTACTGCCAAATATCAGACTATTGTCCTGAAGATAAGACATTGCAAGCTTCATTGCTCAGAAATGAGTATTCACCAAAGCCATGTAGCCTACTAAATGTAAAAAAGCAACAATATCTCTAAATCCAGCAATGATTTTAGTTATAACCTTTCTAGGATGGAAAGATTTCACAAGCTGAGTTCACATGGGGGCAACTATGAACAGTCAATGATATGTGACACATCTGTAACATGAGGTGTTCTCAGGTCATGGAGAGGAAGAAGGGGAAATTAGTCAGCAGCGAGGGACTTTTTAATGACTCGCACTGTATCATCTCAGATAGCTAAATCTGCCACCGCAAGCAGGTCAAAGCAAACTATTTCCAGACGCCATTTGAGCCATCTGTGGTTTTGCATCCTCTGACTCTTCTCTCACCCCCCCCCCCCTCCCTCCCTCCTGTAGGCACAGACCTTCTCCAGGTTGCCGCCCATGAGTTCGGGCACGTCCTTGGCCTGCAGCACTCTCGCGAGCCTGGGGCCATCATGTCGGCATACTACACCTTCTCCTACCCTCTGAGGCTGAGCGAGGATGACAAGCGGGGCATCCAGTACCTGTACGGAGCTCAACCACAAGTCCTGCCCTCACCGCCACCCCCCCCTCCACCTCCATCCAACCCCGAGACTAACGAGATCGTCGCTAATGTGAGTGGAGCTGGCGCAACATTACAATAACCAGTTCAAAACAGCTCAAAACACTATAATAATGTTCTTATTGTCAACAAATCCTATGAAAAGACCAAAACCAACAATGTGTTCGTATGTCTTTCTGACTTCCTGTATGTGGCTCTCAGCTCCAATCCCATTGGTTCCTACCTAAAACAGCTAGAGCAGATGGAGTTTCATTTTTAATAAAGCAAAAAATAAAAGGCTCAGATATTTCCTTGAACAGCTGGTCACTTTAGTTTTTATGGAAGTGAATCAGAAAGGTATTGTGGTTTTGAAGGGGACTTTTTTCAGTGGCGGATTAAGCACCATTGGTGATAAACCCTAACAGAAGTATAAGCTTGATTGATCATGTCTTGTAAGCTTGTTTGTTTTGTTGAGCAGCTTTTAACAATGTCACACTTGGTTGCAGAAAGTCTCTTTTTATCGAGTTGAGCTCACTTCAAGAAACTCCAAAGGACAAATTAGGTGCCATGCTCTAATGAATGTGGCATTGACTTCAAATAAAACCAACCAACGTCTAGGACCAATCACAGTAGTTCTTACTAAAGACATGAATCTTTCAAATGAATAAAAGTTACTCAAACAGGGGTAAATCGTTTTTTTGTAGGGGACTTTATCAAGCAGTGGATTAATCCCCATTTGGTGCAGTACATGCGGCTCCCTGATGTGGTTTTTAATAGTTTCTGGAACTCAATGGAGCCCTATGACACAGAGGAAAAGGATATCCGTGGGGAATATGGTGGATCATTCGTTTTTTCAATGGTCTTTGTTGACAAGAAGAGAAATATAGAATAGACCACTAGCCTTATCCCTTTATCCCACAGTGGTTCCTGTGGTCACAACACTGTTAAAAAAAAGCAAGCATCTTTGAAACTTCACCACATCATTCAGGGGGGTATCTTTTAACCACAAATGATAAATAAGGGTCTAAAGTCATTATTTACGGTAGTCATAAGCACTTGGAAACAGTTTCTTCTAAGTTGTAACAGAGAGGTCTTTTACCGGACGTTATTTTGGGATCCTTTCAGACAATAAAACGGCTCCTTAACCCTCCATACTGCTGCAATAAAAAACATCTTGTAGGAAACTTTACACTTGTGTCTCATTTCCAGCCCGACGCCTGCCAGACGGACTTTGATGCCGTGTCTATGATCCGAGGGGAGCTGTTCTTCTTCAAGTCGGGCTACGTGTGGCGGATCAGGGACGGGCATCTGGAAAGCGGTTACCCAGCGCTAGCGTCCCGTCACTGGAGGGGGATTCCCAACAACATTGACGCCGCCTTTGAAGACAAGTCAGGGAATATTTGGTTCTTTCAAGGTGGGCATTGACGACGGTCTGATCTGTGCTGTTATGTGGTTAAAGGTTTCATGTGAGTGCAGCAGTCACCAAGTATCAAGCAGCCTTGGGCAAGTTTAAACAGGTGCTAAGTGGTAATTAACACAGAGCCGTAGAGTTGTTTGTGTGTATTTCCATTAGATGTGGTTAAGGTAGTAAGTGAAATGTTTCCTTCAAACAGATGTCAGTCCCATTCCTCACTATGAGGGCCATAAACATAATTTGAAGTCAGATTACTAGTGATAAGAATTAGGACCTTTTGGGATCTTTTGAGTTCATTCCCAAGAGCCCTAATTGCTCTTTTTTGTCATATATTCTTCGCCAGACCTCTAAATCGTTTCCACCATCTTTTAACATCTTCCAGGGTTATAGTCTTGAGTTGTATAGACAGGGCTAAAAAGCTCTAGAAATAAATGGCATTGTTCAACATCTCTCTCTCGGGGCAGGTGAGAATTACTGGGTGTTCGATGCCGAGATGCAGATCCGAGGGCCGGAGTCCATCAGGAGTTTGGGTCTGTCGGTGTCTGGGATCCAGGCGGCGCTGCGTTGGGGCCACGACTCCAACTACAACACCTACTTGTTCAAGTCAGGTAGCTACTGGAGGTTCAGCCCCCGAGAGCAGAGGGTGGAGTCCGTCTACCCGCGCAGCATGAAGGACTGGAGCGGCATCCCTGACGACGTGGATGCCACCTTCAGGGACGTCTACGGTATGGTCCAAGGCAAAACTAACCAAGTTAAAGAGTTCCTATCTGAAAATGTTCCCCGGGGATTAATAGATAATCCAGATATCTTTATTTTTTTTGTTTTATAAGCTAGTTGGTTTGTTGGGATCTGTCAGCTTTGAAAATCAGAACAAATTAATTTCTCCAACCCTTAAGGGTTAGGGTTACAACACATCCATGTTTGTTTTGATTACCGAAATGTCCAACTTTAAACCACAAGAATAAGTAAAAATGTACCTAACCTAAATGCAGTTTACAGCACAAAGATTCAACCTTTCAAAACAAAAAAATCTAATAAGAAATATATTTTCAACTCCATTGTAACTATGCTGAGTTTTCCCTGTACATATAAGATAGCCTTTACCCCAGGCATTTAACACATTGTAAATATCTTACCAAAAAAACGTTGAAAGATTCTTGAGACTGATTTATTTACACAGAATGTTTTATTTTATCTTTCAGGCTACGCTCACTTTGTCCGAGGTCGACAGTACTGGAAGTTCGATCCCGTTGGCATGAACTCTTTGGAGGGCTATCCCCGCTACATCGGCATGGACTTCTTCGGATGTAGAAACATTTGACCTATGGAGAACAAGAGCCAGATTTATGACTATGAAGAGGAGTTCTTGAAGCAATGGCATTTGTGTGCTCATCCTGCGGTTTCAAGAAGGATGGCAATATATCCGTTTACACTTTCCTCCATTTATTACACCTTCTTCTCAGGAAAACCAAGTAATGTTTCCTCAGACTTAGCACCTCCTGTGCAGCTATAGTCGTATTTATTTTGCACATTTTTGTCACCATACAGCTGAGGTCTGGGCCCTGTATTAACAACGTGTGATGCTGCATCGCTCTCACTTCCTGTCTTTGAGCCTGGAATGTTCGACTGATTGTGGTTTTCAGAAACTGTAAAGGATATTTTCCATTACATCTATTCTGTTGTGTTACTTCCATTAGGAGCAAAGTACTGTAGTTTCAAAAACGATGTAAAGAGAAAAAAAAAAATCAATGTGCCAAAACACATGCAAATGAAGAAACCTGTTCTTCACCAGCTTAAAGAAACATGCACAGCATTCACACACATTTTGGATAAACTAAACGCTGCAAATAAAAGAAAAATGCAAGAAATTAGCTCAAAACACAACACAAACAGGGACACTAAAAAGTGATGCACACAGCTGTGAAGGTGTGCTTGTTGACGTTCGGGGATTATGAAGTTGTCCCACTGTCAGTGGAAAAGTACCTAAAATGTATGTTGTATTGGCTTATTTTGACAATGTGATCGCATGATTCCTTATGATATGATTGCAGATCTGCTGTAAGCTAGCTAGCTAACGTAGCTAACCTAGTCCTTTCAAATACACTGCCAAAACACTTACGATTATGACGCAGACTAAGGCCCTGTTTACATGGAGACGGTTCGGGTTGTATCTGCTACTTTTTTCTGTCGTATTGACGGTTCTTTCACACAAGGCCGTAACGGAACCGCGGAAACGGACCCCTCAAACGATAACGGGTCCCCGCCTCTCCCCACCTCTCCTGCTCACCCCGTGTCACCCGCGTCATTGCTGATGTGTTTCGCCAACAACAACAACCGAGTGTTTCGAGCCAGGTCCCGTTATCTCGCAGGACAGTCCACCCAGCAGGAGCCTCCAGCTAGATTTGATCGATATGGACATAAACGTGAGTGAAGTCTAATCGGACAGGAGAGAGAGATCAGAGATCAGCTGCTGCTGACGGAGACACGCAGGAGAGGGGGAGGAAAAGAGAGGCTCCATGTATTATTGTTATATTATTATATAGAGTCGTTATTAATTTGTTTTAAAGTGCCGGCACTTTTCTAATTTTGTCTGGAAGATTTAAACTTTAACGGACATGTTGACCGGCGGAAAAAAAATTGAACGGAAACTCTGCCGCACGGTTCCCTCGTCCCTTGGACTAAAATGCTAAATCCACCGCGGAGAATAAACAGAAGGGCAACCATGGCAACCATGCTCGGGAAGTCTTCTTCGCTGCTTTTGGTGTATTTTGTGGCGGAAGTACAGCGCCACTTACAGGCCCGGCATATGTACTACAGCGTCTCCAGCGGGTCGAGCGGTCTCGTTTGAACGGACACGTTTATTGAGCCGATTGCATGTGAACGGAATACTTTTTTGATATCGAATTCGGTTAATTTTCGTTTACGATCCCGTGTAAATGGGGCCTAACTCTGCCAACAGTGACAGTGGGCCAACTTCAACATCCCTGACACTCCGGTCCCAGCAGTGTGCGTCACTTTTTAATGTCCAAGTTTTAGTTTTTAGCAGTCTTTTTTTTATTTGCAGCGTTTCGTTTATGCAGAGCTTTTAATAAACTCTGAGCATGTGTTGTCAGGTTGGGCGAAGATGTTTCTTCATTTGCATGTGTTTTGGCACATTTGTGGTTCTTTTACTTGCATAGTTTCTGAAGCTGCAGTGTGTTTATCCGAATGGATTGTTTTGGGCCGGTGTAGCGCGTTTGCATGGGTCGGCCGCCCCATGGATGGACTGCCGATACTCAAGTGTTTGAATTGTGACATCAAACTTAAAGCTGCAGAAGGTAGATTTGTACATTTTCTCTGCAGAGAGCATGTATTAATGCAATAGCCGCTTTCACACCAAGTACTTTGCCGTACTTAGTTCCCAGCACTTAGTTCCCAGCACTTAGTTCCCCCATGGAACTAAAGAGCAGATCGCGTTCACACCGGAATAAGTCCCTGAGGGAAGATTACGCAAATGAAGCCGCTGACGTCACTTCTTCTTCTTCTTCTGCTTTGGGTTTACTGGCAGGCCGCAAACCACTTCACGGCATATACTGCCACCCGAAGTCCCCGGCCGGCTTCCGAGTAAATTGCCAGAACGCCGACACCTCCTCATCACTCCACCGCTCCCATGTTTTTTTTTGTGTTGCCATAAGTTATTCTCTCTCCGTTGGTGCGCGGGGCTAATGCTAATGATGCTAATGCCAGCAAATACAATGGCGGCTTCACAAAACTTTTCAGAGTTTTACGGGGCGTGGTTAGCAAATCGCCCAGCCAATCAGAAATGTGAACTTTTTTCTCCCCAGGAAAGTACCTGCTCTGTAGCAGGGACTGAAAAGGGGGGAACAGTTCTCATGAACTAAGTTCTCTTTTTGGTGTGAACGCAAAATCCCAGGAACTATCGGACCTAATGGGAAAAGTAAGGGGAAAAGTACTCCGGTGTGAAAGCGCCTAATGTCCCTCTACCCATTAATCATGATGTCGGTAAACAAGAGTTGAAGGATGCGTTCACATATGCAGTTGATTTCCCTGCCTTCCTGAATCACACTGGCCATGAATCAGAACATAAAAACTAAATTCACAGTACTTTGAAGTCGGTCTGTTATTATGCAGAGGTTTGGAAAAAGCTGCATATGGATTCTTTTGTGACACAGTCATAACTTTGAGAATGATGGACTTGTGTTTTTAATGTCCCATTGTGAATCACTCCGGCAGCACACTCTGTTTGGTGTCAACAAAAGTCAAGTTTCCGTCCAAATGTATTGCACATTTTTACAGAATTTCCAGAAAACTTTCATAAGAAAATGCAAGCTACTGTTGTGCAAATATTAGGAGTGTTGTTGATCAAGAGAAACAGTTGCAGCAATACTTCACAGCCATTAAACCTTTGCAAAAGAAGTGTGAACACTAAATAATGATGTGGAAAACACAATGGAATTTATGTGGGTTTCTTTTACTGCTTTTCAATGATAAGTGCTGTTTAATTCACATGCTTAATTTAAGTCATGATTCATTCCTCATAACTGTTGATTAAGGTTTACGGTTTACTAAAAGTCAACAACTAATAGTTTAAAGATATTCCAACTGGTGTTTCTATTCAGGTTTTTTATTGCTCAACTTGAAAATGCACATAAAAACAGGTGGATGGAAACACACTAACTTGACGCAAATGTGTGCAACCGATTATTAGCAAATCTCTGCAGTGCTGGCTTTTGATTGGAGGATGATCTGAAGAGTTCAGATATCGCATTAGAGATTCATATTGACAAAACATCACCTCTGAAAAACGATGGTGGTCTGAAAGGCCAAATCCTCCCAATCACAAGGACCTTTATCTAGTTTATTCTAAACATAATGTAGAAAGTATTGTATTTATTTTTCATATTTGGCCAAATGTTCAAGTTTTGAGTACGTTTTTGGGATATTATGTGACCTAATTCTTCTTCCCTGAAACGTTTACAATACAACAACTTGAAGAAATGGTGTATCCATATGAGGTATAAAATGTGATAACATCACTGTATGTCATGTTTTGTTGTCCCTCTTCTTGATGACTCACCAGACTGCAGGTTCTCTGTGGTAGTGAACAAGCTCCAGTGCGCCATCTAGAGGGCAGATGTCAATTATCTCCTCCTTTTGTGTCTTTCATGTCTCATACTTCATTAATTCATCACTTTTCTTTAACAAAACACGGTGCTCAAATCAGGTCACACAGTCAGTGTGATGCATTCAGGGACACAAGCTGCTGCGTGGATCAGCGGTTTTCACCAGGAGGCTTTTGCTATTTTTTGCTGAACCATAAGACAAATGTAGTATTAAGACACAAATGGCATTGGTGGAAAGGTACATTCACTCAAGTATAGATTTGTATATAGTATATTTGAGGTACTTTACTTGAGTATTTCCATACTTTACTAGCTTACATGTGACATGTTCTGACCTCTGTGGGTCAGGTCACCCTGGTTGAGAACCGCTGAGTCATCGTTGCAGCGCTTGAGATGTGAAGGCTTAGTTCAGACTGTGGTGCTCAGTGCAGTTTTTCAGTGCAGGACGCTGACGAGTCATCATTCAGACTCTGTTGTTTGAATTGTTTCTGCAACTCAAGTGTTAACCAGTGAAATAATATTTATACACAAACAACTTAGCATAAGTTTGTTGTACATACATGTCTTTGATTACTTTTTTTTTTTTTACTCATATGTAGCCCATACCCAGTGCATTGAAATGTATGAACTGCATATTGTTTGCTTTCTAATAAAAACATAACCTTTTTACCAATCGATCGATTACTATGGTTCCAATACTAGACATAGTGGATAATAAATAATTATATGTATCCTTATTATTATTAGTAATAATAATTTTATAGATATTATTTTATTTTATTATTATTGATTTGTCTTATTGTTATGCAAGTATCGCTACTATGCAAGTATTTAAATTAGTTTTTTTGAACAAACTTACTTGATAAGCTAAATCCAACTGAGTTAAAGGACTTTTTTTAAGGGGCGCTAAGGGAGAAAGGGTATTTTTTTATTATTATTATTTTAATTAATCTACTCATTGTTGTGCAAGTATCATAACCATCACATTTTTATATAGGTAAAACATTTAAAATCTTTTTCACTTACATAAATTAAATACATTTTTTAAAGAAGTTATTGTTGAATAAAAAATATGAAGGAATCATAACACTGGGGTTAAATGTAGAGATCACCTAAATATCTTTATATTTCTGCACCTGAATTCTGATGTATTTGCTTTAAAAGTGACCATAGCATGTGAAAGAGTTGTCAGTGTGTGGGGTGGATGGTGTTAATTGAAGGGTGAATCTGATTGGCAGAAGGCAGTGAGGGGGCGGGACCTGTGTTGTTGACTCACCCAGTGAGCAGATGATGGCTGACAGAGAGCAGCAGCAGCACGATGGCTCACAGCTTCACTCAGGAGTACTTTCAGATCCCCGTGGTGACACGAGCGTACACCACCGCCTGCATCCTCACCACCGCTGCTGTGGTAAGAAACCATGACAACAACAACAACAACAGCTTAAACTCTGGCCACCAAACTGGGATCACAAATAAAACTATTATTGAGATATAGAGTTAGAAACTATTCATTTTTAAATGTTACTACTCTTAAAATGTGCAATCTACCTATTGAGAGTCGATCTGTGTTCATTTCAGATGTTTGTATACAGTTAGATCATACGGTTTATTGTGTTTTTTCCACATTTACTAAGATAATAAATAATTGTAAAAGGCTTAAACTACCAGATATTCAAATAGTTTTGAGATCTTTATATTGGAGCTTTTCAAATGTTTAACTGTTTTTAAATGTTAGAAACTCTTTGGATGTATCAGGGTTTAACATTAAAGCACTTCACTTTGTCAGTTTAAAAATATATTAAAATCAAAGTTTAAGTTTAGGTTCCTTTTTTTAAAGACTCTGATATAGATGATCTTATTTAAATAATAATATCGATGATAACTTCACACATTTTTTGTCAACATTGTCATTATTTTAGATCAGACTGGCACTTTTTTAAAAACCTCATCTTGTGCGCTTTTCTTTTCAAGTCTTATAATAGTTTTCTGACTAGACAAATAGCACCACCTACCGTTTACATCAAATAAACATCCTCTTATAATCGCATAATGTTAGTTGAAATAAACATGCACGCATTCAAATGAACATTTCCTGATTTTCTGAAACCTTTGTTAAAATGTGGACTACATGTGGATGTAGCTCTTTAGTTTGTCTATTCTGGGCTACTGTAGAAAACATGGAGGTGACACATGGCACACTTCTTATGTAGGTATGAAGGGCTCATGCTAAGCTAACAAAAACACAACAATTCTTAGTTTTAGGTGATTACATGTATACATACTTAAAAACATATGAATACTACCTATATTCCGTCTCTGCTAATAGATCCCCTCGATCTACCACAAGGATGTTTTTAAGTGTTCATCTAAAAACTAGTAACTATCAATGAATGTCTTAATACCCATCTTGAAAAGTAATTTCAAGGTGTTTCATTTTTTTTTAGCAACTTGAGGTCATTACCCCCTTTCAGCTGTATTTTAATCCAGACCTCATCATCAGACGATACCAGGTAACATTTATTAATTCATTCAAAATTCATTCATTGTTTGTGTTTTATAATGACATGTTTTTTTCTGCCTCAGATATGGCGTCTGATAACCAGCTTCCTCTTCTTTGGTTCTGTTGGATTCAGCTTCGTGTTCAACATCATCTTTCTGTATCTTTTATCACAGAATTGCTTTTCCAGTACCATAAAGTCTAACATCATATTTGTGCAGCGGTGTCCTTAACAAAAGCAAGTTATCGATATTGTCGGATGCTGGAGGAAGGCTGTTTCCGGGGGAGGACGGCAGATTTTGTTTTCATGTTCCTGTTTGGAGGAATCGTGATGACTGTATCCTTTAGATGTTAAGCAAAAGAAATACACATTTTTAATTGGACTGCAATAGTGCTCAAACTCCCGCTGTCAAGACATTCTTAAATGGGAGGTATCAAGAAAACCCACTTTTTCAGTGCTTGTACACGTACATTTTGGATTATGGAGTACTACCAACAAAATAACTGTAAAATAATACAAAAATGTGTATGGTGGCTGCCTCGGTCAGAAAACAATAGGATTCACCGAGGTCTGGAGAACTACCTTTAAAAAGTTACGCCATAACTTTCTTTCAAGCCAATCAGAACAGATTTGGTTTTCTTAAAGATATAGGCGCTAAAACGAAGCGTTTCAGACAGAGGTTGAAACCAGGAATATCTAGATGGACTGTAGAAGAAAATAATTTGTTTTTGGGACATTAAAGCAGGTCAACGTGTCCTAGTAGAAACCCAAATTATAAATATGAACCTAAAATTAAGCAACATATGTCCCCTTTAAATAATTCCTTAAAGGGTCCTCTCATAAGACGAAAATACATCTTTTCACCTAGATGAGATAATATTTTTACCATAATAGCTTTTTAAAGTATCAGTGGAACATATGGGCAGCCCTGCATTTATCATGATATTTGGAAGGAAGAAAGATATATTAAAGATTAATGTACACACCGACTTAACAATGACAGTTAAATGTCAAATAAGTGAGAAAAGTGCCAATAATCGAGAATGTCCAACCAACGCTCCTAAAGAGAGTCAGTTTTCGCATTTTCAGGAAAAATGAAGAACCTAGAAGCTTTCACTTAAAAACGATCAAAATCAACCTGATAGTTGATGTATTGTTTAATTCTGCTAAAAAAAAACACTGTCCACAGTGAGGTCTGTAGATTCAAGAAATTTTTTCTGGATGGATTTTAACCTTACATTTTAATTTAGCAGCTATCCCAAGGGATGAAATTTATAAAAAAATATGGACAAATAAAACCGAACAATCTGCAGTTAGGTACGGCAAGAGCTGACTCATGAACTATGCTCTTTGTAGTTGACATTGCATGAACGGATCCTTTAAGGTTTAACATGCTTATGTGTAGGTCCCTTCTGGCTATAAGCATGTAAAACCAGCTACTGTACACGCTGTCTCTTTTTGCCGATGCTCAGCAGATCGTAACCAGAAAGCTTTGCTCACATTCCAGGTTAATGATACCGTCCTGGGTCTGCTCACAGCAGACGTCCCCCTGGGCCGCTTTGAAACGGTAAATGTGCGGCTTCATGGGTTTTTCTGGAGCCTTGTGATGTTTAATGGACAGTTTTATAAGCAAGTCTAATCCTGAGGTAATATCAGTGTGGAGCGTGTTATCAGGACAGTAACATGCTTAGGCAGACTTTTATTGTGAAGGGTTTAGCATCGGTAAACAAAACGCTCTGACAAAAATGCCTCCTGAGGCCTGTACTACGAAGCCGGATTTTCGCTTAGCGAGCTAACTTCAGGGAAAACTCTGGGTTTCCAGTCCTACGACGCTGGTTCTCTTCTTACCGGGCTGGATCTCCATGGTAACTTATGCTGAACGGCTAGCCTGGTCCGGAGCAGGTTAGGTTCCAGGATAAGAGATCAACTCAGTGAAAGCACCGCCTGCTGACCAATCAGAGCTCAGTGTGCGGAGTTTAAAGCTATCAAGTCATATTACAGGATAAAGGAAATACAGAAAAACTGCCGTTTCAGGAAAGACGGCCTGCAAAAATCAACTGACTGTGTGAACATTAATAGAATATCACCTCCCATCTTCAGAACAATCTGACTATTATAACATTAGCGTTAAGAAAGCTTACTTAAATATCTGCCACAACATAAGTAACCGGATCAAAGTAACAGTACGTACAGTCCGCGGCACTGTGAGTGCAGACGTAGATGTGTCCCATTATCATTCATATCACATCATAATATATCATATATTTCCTTATCTGAGTCAGCTTCTTGAGCCGTATCTGGCCGTGCAACACTCACAGTGTCACATACTGTATGTATGTACTGTATTTTAAGCAACACATTAAGTTGACGAAACACTCGAGTCAAATGTAATTAAAGTCAGATCCACTCGTGTCTTAGACGGGGCAGTGATATCATAAACCTGTTAATGTACGCATTCAAACACTTTTACCAGCTGTATTCACCTTGCAGGTGCAGCTATGTGGCTTTTATCCTGGATAAAGTGTTTAAGTCATGGATGTTTAAAGTTTAACGTCTTCATATTTGTCTAATATTATAGTTGACTTTTTATTCAGGAAGTATGACGCTAAGCTGTCAGTACGCTTCTCCATGTTTGTGATTGGTCAAATGTTGCTAGCCACGCCCCTTTCATGTGAACGCGCACTCAGCTGGACAGAGAAACCCTGGCTTGTGTTACAGAGTTGATAACCAGCGTCGTAGGACCGCTTAGCGAGAGCGCGTTTGTTTTGGGTTAGGTAAGCCGGGTAACTCAAACATATCCAGGTTATGTTGAACTGGATTCGTAGTACAGGCCTCTGGTATCAAAAAGTAGTAAATGTTTGTAGTTTAGAAGATTAGTCTTACAAATACTTCAATATTTTGGTAATGTAATGTTTTATTACCTGAGGCCGAAATTGCCAGTTTACAGAATATTTATGGACTAAACATTTATGAACAATGAGGAAAATATTGGCCTGTCAAAATCATGAATTATTTAGTCAAACGTAAATCCAAATTAGTGAAAATAGTAAGATTCAAGTTAGGTCAAACTTGATTCATTCTGAAAGATTGCAAATAAATAAATAAATAAACAATAAAGATTATCAGACTAATTTTAATAAACCAATAAATGTATCATAAGTTTGGGCTATATTCACCATTTTTGTTGTTATCAACCTTTAATTAGTTGTTCCCTTTTTGTGGCAGAAATGGGCTTCCATATACATGAGATACAGAGAGCAGAAATCTTCTATAAAGTAGCTTTCTTTCCAGCTGCCTAGTTCTGGTTTGACTAAAGACAATTATTTCTGAAGGTTTGTCGTTTTAGAAATGTCTGTTACCCTGAAACTTTAATATACAATTAAACCAGCAGCTCTCAGGTGGCATTTTCTCCGTCCTAATGAAAATACAATTAAATGATTAGTTGTATTTAACCTGAATGCCTGCAGCTGTTCGGTCTGTTCGCCAACGTCTTCTTCCTGGGCCAGGCCTTCATCATCATGCTGGTGTATGTGTGGAGTAGAAGACATCCGCTCGTACGCATGAACTTCTTCGGCCTCCTGAACTTCCAGGCACCTTTCCTCCCCTGGGTGCTCATGGGATTTTCGCTGCTGCTCGGAAACTCCATTGTGGTCGACCTCCTAGGTATAAAACATTTAAACAAACGCCAACATCTGACGTAACCTGTAACTCCTGATAATCTGCTCAGATATTTGGCTAATGTTCAGGAAGGCTACACAGTGAAATTAAGATAACGTAAAAATCATGAAACCTGCAACGTAAACAATTTATATAATCAAATAGCAGGGGGCCTGAATTGCATTATTTGCCTTCTATTAGTTCAAATGGATTACATTTAAATATTATAAGTGTATCAGAGAAATATAAAAAGCTAGTGCACAACAACAACAACAACAGAGCGATACTTGTGTTAAGAAATCCAATGAAAAGAAAAAAAAACAATGTTTTAGTGAGTGTCTGAATCCTTTCTGTTTCCTGTCTGCATTGGCTCCTATGCTGACTATACAGTATATAGTTCGAGATTTTAAAAGGCTCACGTATTAACTAATACAGCTGGTTATTGTAGTTTTTATTAAATTAACAGGATGACTTAGAGCATTTCCCGGGGACTATACTTTCAGTGGCAGAATAATCCACATGTGTTGCTCTAGTGAGTTTTTGTGGCAGCACAACAGTGAATGTAGGATTTAATAAATAAAAGCTGTGTTTATTTCTGTTTTTCCTCAGGTATCAGTGTGGGTCACATGTACTACTTCCTGGAAGACGTGTTTCCAAACCAGCTGGGAGGACGGAGGCTGCTGATGACGCCAGAACTTCTGTAAGTCCGAGATGTTTATTTTCTAAACTTTAAAGAGGACATATTCTGCTAATGTGCAGGTCTCACATTTGTATTTAGTGTCTCTACTGGGACATGTCTCCATGCTTTAATGTTCAAAAAGCTCTTTATTTTTATCATACTGCCTGTGCTGCAGCACCTCTTTTCACCCTCTGTCTGAAACCAGAGCCCAGTCTGCTCTGATTGGTTAGCTGGCCGGCTCTATTGTCATTGGTCAACCACTTAGAAATGTCCCGCCCCTATCACCTACAATGTGTTGGAGCGATAGCCAATAGAAGCGTAAGTGTGATAGTGACGTCACTATGTTACGGAAGTAAACAAAGGAGACCAATGGAGGTGTTTCAGGCAGGGGGGAGGGACGTTTGGGATTTGAGCCTTAAGAGACCATTTACATGCACTGTATAACAGGAAAGAGAAGACCCCAAAATGCTCAATAGTGCCGTTATTAGTCGTTTGGAAATAGATGACTTGCAGAAGACTTTAACCCTAATACGGTCCTAGAGTTTATTAATATAAAGTAAATTCAATTTTTTTTATCGTATATAAGTAATGCAAAAATATATATCTATTGTCAACATCATGAGACCCCCTTTTTCCTCCTCATAGGCGGGCCATGTTCGATCAGCCGGAGGACCCCGACTACCGTCCGCTCCATGAAGAACAGCAGGGGGAAGATCTGCTGCAGGACGAGGAGCCGCAGGAGTAACAATACTAAGACCACAACAATCTGGATAAATCTGAGGACACAGGAAGACAGTTAGAAGATGTGGATCTGTGGAGCCCTGACTCCTCGCAGAGTGCAGTAACGACATTTAAAATTGAACTGCACATCAGCATCATGAATATTCACAATATTTCTTACCTAATGGTACATTCCCACTAAGCATTTCAACTACGGAGAGTTTATTTGCCCTAAAGAGAAGTTTATTTCGGACAAAAAACATAATTTAATCAAAGCAAAGAAAATATGGAATCATGTGTAGAAGGAAGACACACCAAGTAACTTTTTTTGGGGGGGGAAATGAACTTAAAAGGGCATCTTGTAGAGTTCATTTGACCACGATTCAGCAGAGAAATGTTTTTACGAGTAGGTCCCTGTTGTGTTTTCATGGTGCACAAGCACGGGGCGACATAAAAGGCAGGGAAGAAAACCAAAAGCAAGTCAACACTGCAGGATTTAAAATGTTAATATAAAAATGAAATGTTTACTGAGGAAGAAAAGTGAGACCTCAAAGATACACACAATAACGGTAAAGGCAACATTTGTTTCTGTCAACAAAACGCCACAGGGCACCTTTAAGGTCGATTTACAATAATTGTTTTTTATTTAGCTTTCTATCGTATCTCTTGGTCTTTATCGGGGGGCAATCACATGAATGTCAGATGGTTTCATACGAGGATACATTGTAAACCCTTTCTGAGGTCAATAAGATGCAAGGGCTTCATAAAAAGCTTGTAACTGGACATTTGGGTTAAGATTTTGCCCACATGAGCTGTTTAAAGTCTAAGATGTACAGTTGAGGCCTAAATTATTAGCCCCCCAGGAGTTATGGAACATTTTCCTAAAATTCTTCCCAATGTTTCCAGCATTGATAAAACTTGATATAATCAAACATTCACCAGTGCTATTTAGTAGCTTTTGGTACATTTTGGAAAATAAAATAAGTTTTTAGACTTGCTTTATATCAAATATAGTGAAAAATGGGTTGGTCAAAAAATATTAGCCCCCAGGCCATTAATAGTCAATAGTGTACCCTTTCTGAGCCACAACTGACAACAACCTCTTAGAGTAGTTCTTCACTAGGTTGGCACAGGTCTCTTGAGGGATTATGGCCCATTCTTCCATTGCAAATTGTTCCAGCTGGTTCAAATTGCGTGGTTTCCGAGCATGGACATTCTCTTTGAGCACCCGCCAGATTCTCAATAGGATTCAGATCTGGGCTCTGTGCGGGGATTCTTGCCGACATCTCTGACTATTTTCCTCTCCAGAGTTCTTGAAATCTTGCGCTTTCGACCACGCCTAGGTTTGTTTCTTACAGAATTTGTCTCCTTGTACTTCGCAATGATGCAACGTACAGCAGTTCTTGACACTGTGAAGTGCTTGGAAATAGCAGTATAGCCTTCCCCCTTATCATGAGCCTCCACTATCTTCTTTCTGAGCTCAAGACTGATTTCCTTTGTCTTTGGCATGGTGAGTAGGAGTAGTAGTATAGTCCCTCTCAATAAGGTATTCAAGTGCCTGTTTCTTGGAGTCCTTTTATGCTGATTGAATGCTCAGGTGTGGCTTGAAAGCTGATTGGTTGATTATGTGTGGTTTGAAAGCTGATTGATTGATTAGGTGTGTTTTGAAAGCAAAAATTCATATGGGGGCTAATATTTTTTGACCAACCCATTTTTCACTATATTTGATATAAAGCAAGCCTAAAAACTTATTTTATTTTCCAAAATATACCCAAAGCTACTAAATAGCACAGGTGAATGTTTGATTATATCAAGTTGTATCAATGCTGGAAACATTGGGAAGAATTTTAGGAAAATGTTCCATAACTCCCGGGGGGCTAATAATTTAGGCCTCAACTGTACGTGCATGCCTAACAGAATGTATGCTTGAATTTGAATTTGAGTTTATGTCAAAATATTCTTTACAAAACCCCAAACCTAGCAACGAGACAGTGAGTGATTCACCTGATCTCTCTTTATAAAGCTATTCACTTAGACTTTATCAGCATAAACAAATATAAACCTCCTAAGTAAGCACACTCCAACTGTGTAAAATAAGTCAAAGCAGTTCCCTCCCTGCTGCTGTCACACTGAACTGCCGACCTCCTGAAACCAGCAGCCCGTCTGCACACTCTGCACTTTCACCCGCTGCCTTTTGTGGGTCAAACACTGGCGAACAAAATGGAAATTGCTTAGCACAACAACAAGCAAACAAGTCTCTGTGGGAGCGTCCGACAACCACACATATTTCATTGTCAGTCATAACACGGCACTGTGGAACATTTCAGTCAAGAAAACGTTTCTGTTTGCAGGGATTCAATGGAAAGCATCAGCAAGAACATTTATAGGACAAATCATCGTGGTATTGACAACTCAATGTGGGGACATTCACACACACGTACCTGATATTTAACATTTGAATTTGTTTAAAACAAAAATCTAAAAACTAAAGATGTAATATTTAATTGCAAATTTGCTGACCAGTATTGCAATTTAAACTAATTTGTTCTAGAAATGAAACTACAGCCTTTCATTTGTGACTTATATTAAACAAAGAAAAAATACAAACTTGTTTCCTCGTAAAAAAAAAGGCAGGCAAGTTTTTATTTGTACTTGTCAGTTCAACATACAGAAGCCTTTTTTTTTTTTAAACTGAACAAATTAGCTCACTTTTAGAAATGACACTGCATATTTGACCAGCTCGAAGAGGCTGTATTTAGACAAAAGGTGACCTTAAGCTTAATGCTAACAAAGAGATGCTAACACTCGCACATGACAATGTTAAGGTGGTATGTTTAACATGTTCAACTTCTTTGTTTAGCGTGTTAGCATCCTAGCATCATCTGACTGGCACAGAACTAAAGGTGCAGCTGAGGCTGATGGGAGTGCTGTTACTTCTGAAAGGCAGTTGGTCATTGACTTGTGATGGACACCATTTAAGCTGGGGGGGGTGAGTGTGTGGGAGAGAAACTCCCTCTGGAGGGAACACAGGAATTTTAGGGCTTCTTTAAATTGATGCACAATATAACAAGATGTCAAATCAAGCTCTTTCACTTTTTTTATTTATTTTGTAAGAATTATTAAAATGTACAAAAAGACAACAAATACAACATAACAATATATTATCTGAGACTGGCTGTGGTTTTTTTTTTCTCCCTCTGGTCAGGTAAAGAGAGTCAGTGGTCAAAGTGAGAGAGCAGCCTCTCCACACCGGGGGTCTGAGGGGAACACAACGGGGTTTTCTACCGGGGGCTTTGCCAAAAAGAACAAAGTAATAACATCAATAATGAAAATAAAAAATGAAAATGTGAATGTCTGACTGAGAATCCGGTGGAGCAGAAAAGACATCCAGCGCGCGATGGAGGGACGTCTCTGGTGCTGATGTTTGTACCGTGACAGAACCAAACCTCAGTGAAGACGAGCTCCTGCAGGGGGCGCCGTCGCCCTACCACGCAGGCGCCATGTTCGCCAGTCGCCTCATTCGCCTGTGGAGAGAAGGGCAACAGTGTCAGCAACCGCAGACTATTACAAATCTCACTCTTCTTACTAGAGGTCCAAATACTATTCGTTTAACGTGATGATAATCAATGTTATTTTATCATTTCATCTATTTAATGGGTCCTGTGGTTGAATGCTGAAGGGTAACGTCTTCCAAACAGAGTGGTGCAGGGATGAGTCCTAAAGCGTGGAAATGAGTAAGCATTTTAGAAATGACGGTCCCCTGTATCAAAGTATTTTGATTGGGTTTTTGGTTAGATTCCCGAAATAAGGTGCAAATAAGATTTGTATAATAATTTGTTCAATGACAAATATGTCAATAATAACTCACTGGTGAATGTCAGAAGTTTTTACGTGTCTTAAAATGGCGGTTGCTAACAAGTGGCTATATGAGACAACTAAACATTGTCTAAGTATAATAAACATGTGTTTGCAACAGATCTTATTTCTGAAATATACCAAAAAAAACAATATACGGCTGCAACAAATGGACACCATTTGAATCCAAAGAATCGCTTCATCTTTAAAATGCCAGGAAATTGTAAAAAATGATCTTCAAAAAAAGAGGCTGGAACCATCAACTTAAAACATTTTTATAATTAAACAATTATCCAATATATCAACATCTGATCTACTCTTCATGAAGTTACTCAATCGATTAAGTTTTAAGCACTATTCAGTTTACAACAAATGTCTGACATTTTACTTTTCAAAAATGACCTAAAAGATGATCATTTATCAAGATGATCGTGTTCATCATATCTGATTAATTTTGATTAATGTGCACTGTCCCTGTTAAAGTAATCAATGAATGTATTACCTTCTTTTTTGTACGGGTCCCTTACTAAGTCAGGACTGAACTATGTTATTTGGCACTACAAAAGTAGAATAGTGAATTAAGCTGCAACGATTAGACAAGTAATGGATGATTCAATTGACAAGCAACTGTTTTGATCTTAAATAGATCAGTTGGGTTATAATATATATACCTCTGATTTCCATATTGTTCTAGGTTTTTTTTATCTCCACAGGAAGGAAGTATGGTAACAAACAGCTGACTGCTCCATCATGGAGGTGCATTAAAGCCTCAGCCTCACTCACCTGGTGTTTCTGTCCTGATCTCTGATCTTCTTCTCCATCTCTGCGTCTGTCAGGGTCTCCAGCAGGGGGCACCACTGGTCGGCATCACCTGTGTTTCTGATGGCTATCTCCACTGTGGGGAGGGGGTTCTCACTGCAAAACACCAACCAAAAACAATGGTCACTATGGATGTACTTCACTGCGGACTCAGTGGATGTGTTCCCTCGGCTGCAGCTGGAGACTCAGATGTGGGTTTCCTTTCAAGTGACTCAGATGGGATGTTTTCTAATCAATCCATAACAGGGAGTCACTTCCCCCCCGTTTACGCAAATCTTGAAGCACGCAAGTTCCAAGCAACGGTAACAATAGCGTAATATTATGACATGTTACTAAAACATTTAGCATAGTTTTGATGAGCAGCGTGAGGAAAGACGGGAAAAACACATCCTGTTTTGAAAGAAAACAAGATATTTTAGGAAACAGCACAACTCCAAAGAAACAAGCGTGAGAAGAGAAGCAAATAAAATAATGGATTTAACTTCATGCATGCTGATATGAACATTAGTTTTTACACCGCCCTGATCATCTCTGTTTGATTGATTGCATTACCAATCATTAATCGTTGTCATGAAATAAGCAGAAAAAATAATTGAATATTTCTTCCACACCGGATATCCAACTGTTACGGAGATCAGTCTGGGTTTAGAAATATTGTATTACTTCACATCCCGGGGAGGTAAGGAACTCGCAGACAGACTGTCGGCTAGGTTTCACCCAGACAATATCCATGAGAGCAGTAAATAGCAGCCATGGCAACGACATACACAACAACAGAGATGTCAACAGGCCAGACTTTTCCAAAGCGCTTGTTTCTGCACGTTTTCAAAATGAGAAAATGTAATATTTCAAAATGATCAATAATTTATCAATGTGTGATAAAAGTGCCCCTTCAAAAACATTACAATACACTATTACATTATGTTAATATTTGTTTGTATTCTTGAATGTTCAAATATCTAATTCTTCAGGTTTCTTATTATCAACGTTACAGCTATAATCAAGCTATAACCCAAGGAGATTGACGTAATGATGGAAATAAAACATGTTGTGCACTTTAGAATTAAGTACAAATATATTTACGTTATTTGCAGTGTTTTGTATTTGCCTCGTTTCATTCGGGTAAACGCTGAGCATGTGTTGTCAAGTACTACTACTTGTATTTCTTTTACCGGTTAAAG